GCGTGCGTGCTCCTCGCCCAAACACAAAACGCAGAGATTGTGTGTGTCATCAGGTGTCAAATAGCGACGACACGGATGCACACACCCTCGAAACACTCTGCTAGTCTGCTAGTGCATAATAGATAGTAGATCGCTCTTACCACGTTAAAATGCACGCTTCAAACAAAACAGTCAGTGAAGACGAAAAGACGAAGGACATGTTCTCCCGGCGCCTATTTAAACTATAGTTGCACCAGTAGTGATGTCATGGGCTGTCGCCGGCCAACGTGTCAGGTCAGACACAGGTCATGACGAGGCATTCCCCCCATAGTGACCCCTAGAGGACGCAGTTCGAAGTTCCCTTGAAAGGGAACCCTGTGAATCATCCTCTTTTATAGTCCATAGTTCAGCATAATGCATTTTTTTTTAAATGAGGTTCAGTGAGTTCTTAGCTTGACTTAGTCTGTCTTATTATTCCACACCAGAAAGCATTATCTGTATTGTACCTGGAATAGAAAAGGGCCTTCCCAAGCTGTTGGAAAAAAAACACAATTCCCTAAAATGTCTTTGTGTTGTATTGTATTGTGTAAGAATTTGTCCTCACAGAAATGACAGTAATAACCCATTAAACAGAACAGGATTCATATATCAGTTAACAACACACTGAACTTAGTAAAAGTGCTGTTAATTTAATATTTGGATGACAAATTTTCACTTATACTTCAAAAATAACAAAACTTCATGATCTCCATCTGTGTTCCTTGAAGCTGACGAGGAGATCTTCCCGTAGGGAAACCAGCATTGTCTCATTAAGACAAACACATGTGCCCATGCTGCCAGTTCCTTTCAACACACATCCAATTAAAAATGTGTAATTACGTAAGATCACACATGATGAGCCAACATGAACATCAGAGTTTTGTGTCTGTGAGAAGAAGCAGTGCTAATGCATTTGCAAGGTCTACATGCTTTTTCATGTTTGTACCATTTTTGGGACCAATTATGAGTTTGTTTGTTTGTTTATTCATTCATTTCAAAGTGTATTTGCTTAGATTTCGATATGTGGATTAAACAGGATTGTAAGAGATATGTAGAGCTCATTTGAAACTGCTGACATAAACTTGCATGTCCACTGACAAAACTCGCTTGATTTTGGATTTGAGAACCCTATTGAACGCAGCTCAGCTACCTGATCAGGAGAAAGGCCCTCGCCTTTATCCAGGTCTTTCAGCAGATCAGCCTGATACGCCTGGAGCACCGCCATAGTGTGCAACGAACCCACAGCCTGACCTGCTGCTGCATATGCCCTGGATCCTGGAGGGGCTTAGATGGCAAGGAGGGAGTATTAAGGGAGGATGTCTCGCCCGAAGAGAGATAGCAAGCCAGCGTCTCTTCTACAGGGGGCATCCTCTCATAGCCATTTTCATGCATTGCCTCGATGTTGGCATAACTCGTATGCTAGAATCGATAGATGCGAGAAGAAAACTGCCTCTTCCATTCCTTCTCGATTTCAGTATGCAAATCAGGAAGGAATGGAAGGCTCACCTGAGCTGGACTGGTCAGAAAGATAACGCTCATCGAGACAACCCGCGGTGCCACTCTCTTGGCCCGCTTCTACCGCAAGTCTAGCCTCGCCGTGGCGCAATCCATAACTTCCAACAGCTCACCATACGCAGGGAAGGAGGATTGGGAAGGCTCAGCTTCAGCCTCTTCGCCGTCCTCAGACATCTCCTGCTCTTCCTGGGCTAAACCCAGAAGAGCACTGGCCCCCGGATCATCCTCCAGCGGCTCTCTCTCGTCCGCAGCCAACGAGTGCGAGAAGGAAAGCCCCTCCCTAAACTCATCAGCCAGGTCCACCTGCGAACCCCATGAGCTCATTTTCCTCCGTGCCTCAGCAGCGGCAGGTCCTGAACCGTGGGAAGCAGATGGCTGCCCCTCTTTCCTCAAAAAAAAGAGACAAACGAGAGCGGAGCTTTTTCATCGAAAAATGCTCACAATGCACGTAAATCGCCCCCTCAAGGACGTTGCGTGCGTGCTCCACGCCCAAACACAAAACGCAGAGATTGTGTGTGTCATCAGGTGTCAAATAGCGACGACACGGATGCACACACCCTCGAAACACTCTGCTAGTGCTCGCCATAATAATAGATAGTAGATCGCTCTTACCACGTTAAAATGCACGCTTCAAACAAAACAGTCAGTGAAGACGAAGAAGAGAATGACATGTTCTCCCGGCGCCTATTTAAACTATAGTTGCACCAGTAGTGATGTCATGGGCTGTCGCCGGCCAACGTGTCAGGTCAGACACAGGTCATGACGAGGCATTCCCCCCATAGTGACCCCTAGAGGACGCAGTTCGAAGTTCCCTTGAAAGGGAACCCTGTGAATCATCCTCTTTTATAGTCCATAGTTTGCACCAGTAGTGATGTCATGGGCTGTCGCCGGCCAACGTGTCAGGTCAGACACAGGTCACGACGAGGCATTCCCCCCATAGTGACCCCTAGAGGACGCAGTTCGAAGTTCCCTTGAAAGGGAACCCTGTGAATCATCCTCTTTTATAGTCCATAGTTCAGCATAATGCATTTTTTTTTAAATGAGGTTCAGTGAGTTCTTAGCTTGACTTAGTCTGTCTTATTATTCCACACCAGAAAGCATTATCTGTATTGTACCTGGAATAGAAAAGGGCCTTCCCAAGCTGTTGGAAAAAAAACACAATTCCCTAAAATGTCTTTGTGTTGTATTGTATTGTGTAAGAATTTGTCCTCACAGAAATGACAGTAATAACCCATTAAACAGAACAGGATTCATATATCAGTTAACAACACACTGAACTTAGTAAAAGTGCTGTTAATTTAATATTTGGATGACAAATTTTCACTTATACTTCAAAAATAACAAAACTTCATGATCTCCATCTGTGTTCCTTGAAGCTGACGAGGAGATCTTCCCGTAGGGAAACCAGCATTGTCTCATTAAGACAAACACATGTGCCCATGCTGCCAGTTCCTTTCAACACGCATCCAATTAAAAATGTGTAATTACGTAAGATCACACATGATGAGCCAACATGAACATCAGAGTTTTGTGTCTGTGAGAAGAAGCAGTGCTAATGCATTTGCAAGGTCTACATGCTTTTTCATGTTTGTACCATTTTTGGGACCAATTATGAGTTTGTTTGTTTGTTTATTCATTCATTTCAAAGTGTATTTGCTTAGATTTCGATATGTGGATTAAACAGGATTGTAAGAGATATGTAGAGCTCATTTGAAACTGCTGACATAAACTTGCATGTCCACTGACAAAACTCGCTTGATTTTGGATTTGAGAACCCTATTGAAGTACATTAAACCTTATAGCAACAGTGTTTAGCTACAGTAGTAATAATATAAGTGTATTATGGAGAAAAAAATGTTTTTTGTACGACTGTTTTTGTTTTTTGCATTGACTGATTACACAAAATCAACGCTCATAAACATCCAATTAAAAATGTGTAATTACGTAAGATCACACATGATGAGCCAACATGAACATCAGAGTTTTGTGTCTGTGAGAAGAAGCAGTGCTAATGCGTACACTATTGAAGTACATTAAACCTTATAGCAACAGTGTTTAGCTACAGTAGTAATAATATAAGTGTATTATGGAGAAAAAAATGTTTTTTGTACGACTGTTTTTGTTTTTTGCATTGACTGATTACACAAAATCAACGCTCATAAGAAGCTACGTCGTAGTCTCCTTATGAGCGAACACGTGGTGCTATTGTTTCAGCTTTTTCTTTCTTCAGTGTACAGTTTTTCTCCGACACAAAGTGGAATAAATCCCCTTTTGCGTGCGATCTATGGCTTTTAGAAAGTCTCTTTGTATGCGGTTTATCATCTGGGATGATTTGTGAGGATTAAAGACCTTGTTCGCTTCTTCATCAGTGTGGATGTCCTCGTAGGCATTGATTCCTCTGTCTGTCCGCTTGGCAGTAGTCAGAGAATGTGTCAGACTGGGTGATTTAAACTATAAATCACAGTTACATCATTCTGTTCAAGTGAACCCCGGTGGTAATCGAAGGGGTAATTCATACAGTAATGTCTGTTCAGGAAACCACTTTTCCAGTACGAAATCCATTCTCTTCTGGAAAGGGCAATAGAAGAGGTTTCCCTCATCAGAGAGAGTGCAGTTTTTAAATTTTCTTGTGCCCAAAAACGATGACAGTATGCGTCCTATTCTGGACCTAAGATATTTGAGTTTAAAATATTGATAAAATGTCCTTTCAGAAAGCTAATGCAGAAGTATATAATGTCGCAAATAAATCAGGGGGATTGGTTTGGTGTGACAGATATGAAGGCTGCAGATCTTCATATTTAGATTGTGCTGAAGCACAAGCCATTTCTCAGGTTGACTTTTGGGAGCAAAGCCTATCAGTTTTGCATCCTTCTGTTCTGACTGACTCTCACACCTTTATGAAATGCACAGATCCGCATTTTGAACTTGCGGATGCCTCGAATGATTGGTTGGTGCTAGCACACACTGAGAGTCTTGCTAAACAACATTGAGACATTGTCACACTGATCACATGTTCAGGCCATGAATTCGCTTATTTACTCTTTTGTATGTTTCTCTGTGCAGTTCTGGAAACATGCCGAAGCACGTGGAGGTAAGGATGCATGAAAGCCACCTGGAACCCATTGAGGCGAAGCCGAACTCCAAATGGGGCACAATATGCCAGAAGATGCGCAAGAACCTGCTGCTCACGCTGACTGTGATGGGTGAGTGTTCTTCAGCAATCCACAGTGAGAAAACGGAAGAGTAGGCGGAGAAAAGGACACAGCATACATAGCATGGTCTGATGCTGCAAAGCAGAGCTACTACTGAATAACTGGTATCTGGACAGTAAAGGCTCAGAAGAGAGCAGGTGACAGTACATATTTTATATTTATTTTTTCGTACCAATTAATAAATGGTGAAGAAGTTATCTTTATATTGCATTGTTGAAGTAATAGGTGAATATATTCCTTTGGAGTCTTTGGAGGGTGTGGATAGCAGTTAGTATCTCTGTGAAGACATCCTGAATGGGCTGAGAGTGATGCATGTGTGATTATGTGTTTGTTTCAGGATATAAAATACAAGATTGTTTTTAGGATTCTAAACTCAGAAAGTAAAGTGCCTCAGCAGGGGTGCGTTAGTGCTTTAGAGACTGTTAGGTAGGTGGTGGCTGGGACAAACGCTGTGATAGTAGGGCTGAAGAGTGCACTGTGCCCAGGGATGGAATGCCTCTGTTCCAGCGCCTTCACTTGACACAGATATGGTTCCACAACACAATATCTGATTTATTTGTTTTGGAATCACATGTGGCCACATATTTGTATATACATTTAAAGTATGTTCAGGAATATTTTCCTTTCATAGGTGTGATTTTGGGAGCTGTTTCTGGTATGCTGCTGCGTGTGGCTTCTCCAATCGATGACAACATTGTCATGGTAATTGCCTTCCCTGGAGATATTCTAATGAGGATGCTAAAAATGCTCATCCTTCCCTTAATCATCTCCAGCTTAATCACAGGTAACACAAACCTCATCTTTTAATAAGCTGTGAACTATATGATTGGAAATGTTAAATACATTGGCGAAACCACAAACAACTAATTCAGCTGAGAGTAATGCTTGGGTGTGTTATTATTATACTAACAAACAGAGTGGAAAACAGTGAGAGAGAAAGAGGCGTAATCGTTTAACCTTAGGCCTTTTCAAAATGTGCTTATGCCTTTAATTTAGTCAAAAATCTTCTGATGTAGAGTGATGTGAGAATAACTGTGTTCATTCTTTTTAATGTTTGATGTTCTGACAGATTATGGTTGCTGTTGCTTCTGCTTTATAGTTCTTTACTGTATTTAAAATGGTCTATTTTGGGGATCAAAAACTGTAAAAAAACTGTCATTTAATTTCTGCGCACTCATTTAATTTAATTTAATACACTAATACTTGGAGAAAGGTCTTTTCAGTAATTAGGTTTTGTGTCAAGAAAGGCCGATGGTTGTGCCTTATACTGGGAGAGACAAAGAGAGAGAGTTTGCTGTGATGGTAGGGTTAGGGTTAAGGGACAGAATATACAGTTTGTACAGTATAAAAAACATTACACCTATGAAGAGGTAAGGGACAGTGAGTTATAAAGGACAATGAATATGAATGCAATTAATATTCAATAAAGTTTGGTTTAAAGCACTTAATTAATGACATTTTCCCATTTTCTGTGACCTAATCTAAGTGAGAACTACTCACTCCTTATTACCAGTTAACAATTAATTTACTTTGAGATAATTAAACAACAATAATTGTGTTAATTACAGTGATAATGAATGAAGAACACACTGTTTTGTATAGAGTCTATTAATGTATTAACTATAGTTTGTAAACTATGAATGAACTATAAACTAATAGTTTGTTAATGGTTTGTAAGTACTTTTTTAGTGTACACTTATTATAAAGTGTTGCCGGAGGAGGTTTACCTTATTTCTCCACACTGACTTTGGCAGTACTAGTGCAGGATATCTTTTATAATCATGCATGCGGCAGCTTCTGTGTATTGCAGTCAGAGGTGCTGTCAAGTCAATGTCATGAGCACAAGACAGCAAAGTACAAAACCTGGATCATCATCAACAAAGTACAAAACTACATATTGTATCATATGTTGTCTCTATTGCTGTATATTCTCAGTCTAGTCAGATCTGCTAATCCCATCAAGCCACAAACATCTACCAAGCAAGCACAGAATGTATCAGCATGTCTGCTGTGTAGAAGTAACCGCAAACTAAAATTGTATCTCATGCCAATTCACTGAAATTTAACACAAAACATTAAAAAAAAAAGTGTTGAATCTATTTGAGATTCATTTCGGTTTTGGATGGCAAGGGGCATACTATCATTCTTGCTGTTTAAATCATGCATTATGATTATATACTGTAGTAATATCATATAGACACAATTCAGTGTTCACAGCAATCTGACTGAGCTAGATTGGCAAAAACTGTATATCAAAATACGTAATGACACTGAACAAACAACATTTGAGTTGTGAATATGACAGAATGATCATGTAAAACCATATGGCACTTTTCCCTAACTGAGGTCTTTCCGGTCTGGATGCAAAGTCAAGTGGTCGTCTGGGTTCGAGAGCCATGATTTATTACATGACCACTACTATCATTGCTGCTGTGCTGGGGGTCATCCTGGTGCTCCTCATCCACCCCGGAAATCCCAAACTCAAGGAGAATCTAGGAGAAGGAGCTGAGAATGATGAGGTTTCCAGTCTTGATGCCTTTTTTGACCTTATCAGAAACCTCTTCCCTGAGAATTTGGTTCAGGCTTGCTTCCAGCAGGTAAGACAGGACGCATGTGCAAACCTGTATGTGCTTCCATAGGGAACTTTTAGACTCACTTTATATCAGGAGTTTTCAACTACAAATTGATACAGTATACATATTGTGTAAATACATAATAATTTCTGTTCTTTTTATATTAACAATTTTTTGCTGTTTAACATGTTAAAAATCATTAAGATAGCATCCTTTTTCCCTCAAGAAGCTGTGATAATGTTCTGTCCACATGTCTTTTGGTTAGCATTACAGTGTTTGGTAATTAAAGGAATAGTTCACCCAAAAATGAGAATATGCTGAAAAATGTGCTCACCCTCAGGCCATTAAAGATGTAGATGAGTTTGTTTCTTTATCAGGACAGATTTGGAGAAATTTAGTATTACTGAATCAGCAGAGAATGACTGACAAACAGAAACATCACCAAACACACTATAAAAAACACAGCTAAATGTGACATTATAATGGGTTTAGGTGGATATTATTACAAATTTACTTAAATTGAAAGATTTGATCAGTCAATTAATTTAGGCCTGGCTTACAATTATACTGTTCTGTTGAATGGGTACGTAATTGCTCATTTCATGATTTCACTGTTATCGTAGTACTTATAGTAGAAAGATGCCTTTACATGTATTTAAAATATGAAATATTCAAAATATGACTTGTTTACACATTCTTTTGGTGATTCAATGTGAAATTATATTTATGATACAATTTAGGTTGGGTTACCATTAATAGTGGAATTAATTACAGAATTCTGTGCAATTAATGAATCATTCCTAATCAGTCAATCAACAGTCCTAGTAATTGTAAAGTTGTACTTACATTTAAAGTAAATGCATGAAATTATAGATATATTAAATGTTTAATTTAATAATGTGCATTGCAGTTAAAGACATCTGATATAAAGTGGGAGTTGAACAATAAATTGGTGTAATAAATTAGTCAGGTGATGTTGAAATTCACAGATCCAGACCGTCGTGAAGAAAGTAGAAGTTCAGCCTGATTTCGATGACACCAACAGCACCGACCATCTGTCAAATGCCACCAGACCACCCCCTATTTTCAAAGACAAGAAATCTCTCCAGTTCAAGAGTGGAATGAATGTGCTGGGTAGGGCGACCATACTCTCAGATATCTATAATTCCTTATAATAACTCCTTCCCTTTTCATTCATTGATTGATTGATTATCTTTGTCTTTCATTCCAGGTCTAATTGGATTCTTCATTGCCTTTGGTATTTGTATGGGCAAGATGGGAGAGAAAGCTAGGCTCATGATTGACTTCTTCAGCATACTCAATGAGATTGTGATGAAGCTAGTTATCATGATCATGTGGTCAGTTGTACTTTTTATGTCCTCTAGCTAAGTACAAAGTCCAGTAATGATACGTTTTATACCGATGGACTCACATTATGGACTGACTCTATAGGTACTCTCCCTTTGGCATCGCCTGCTTGATCTGTGGAAAGATCATCTCTATCAAAGATCTGGAGGTGGTGGCCAGGCAGCTGGGGATGTACATGGTGACAGTTATTATTGGTCTGATCATCCATGGTGCCATATTCCTGCCATGCATCTACTTTGCAATTGTACGGAAAAACCCCTTCTCGTTCTTCATGGGTATCTTCCAGGCCTGGATCACAGCTCTGGGCACAGCCTCTAGGTATGAAATTACACTACATGACCTTTGCATAAATTATATATTAATTATTTTTAGCCATACATTTGTAAATGTTATTAAAATATTAATGTTATTATATGGCCTGATGGATTTTTTTTATTTATGTAACGCTTTTCACTATACACATACTATGTATCACTTTGTGTGTAGCATACTCCAGCCCCAATCAAATATAGCGACACATCAATAACATCATATCTCATTGGTTCTTGTGTCATGTCATCATGACATTAAGTCACGTGACACATAAGAAGCAGTCTGGTTTGGTGTTATTGACCTGTCACCATATTTGATTTAGACTCTGCTCACCCCCCCTTTATAATAATCTCATTTTGTTGCTTTGCAGCCAATGAAGATGGACACAGTTTTTGTCTTATCCAGCTGTATTTACTCAGTGTAACGTATGGTATCCAAGTGAAAGATATAACACCAACATGTCAGAGAGAAAAAACAGAATCACTGAGTTGGAAAAAGGATCAGCCCCTTGTGTCAGTATTTTGTTGAAGTACCTTTTGCTTTAATTGCAGCTTTTAGTCTGTTGGGATTTGTCTCTGTCTCGACTAACTTTGCACTAACTTTGACTTTGCAATATTTGCTCACTGTTCTTTGCAGAACTGCTTAAGTTCAGTTCAAATTTGTTTCAAAAGTTTCAAATTTGATGGAGAGCGTTTGTGGACTGCAGTCTTCAGTTCGTTCCTCAGATTTTCAATGGGGTTTGAGTCTGGGCTCTGACGAGGCCATGCAAGGACATTTAGCTTTTTCTCCTTCAACCACTGTGTGTCAGTTATGCTGTGTGCTTTGGCTCATTGTCATGTTGGAAGGTAAATCTTCTTCCCATTGACAGCTTTCTGGCAGAGGGCAGCAGATTTTCCTCAAGAATTTGACGGTATTTTTCCCCATCCATTTTTCCTTCTATCCTGACAAATGCTCCTGTCCCTGCTGCAGAGAAACACCCATAACAGGATATCACCACCTCCATGCTTTACTTGAGGATTGCTGTTATTTGGATGGTGATCTGTGTTGGATTTCTGCCAGACGTATCAATTGGTGTTGAGGCCAGATAATTAAATTTTAGTCTCATCTGCCTCAGAAGGTGCATTTTGGCAAAGCTCAGTTGTGACTGCATGTGGCCTTTCTTGAAGAGCGTCTTTTTTCTTGAAACCCTCCTATACAAGCCACATTTGTGGAGAATTTGTGTTATTGTTGTCACATGCTCACAATGACCACTCTTTGGCATAAACTCCTGCAGCTGCTTCAGAGTTGCTGTCGGTCTCTTGGTCGCCTCTCTGATCAGTTTCCTCCGGCTCTTTCATCAGTTTGGAGCGACGTCCTGATCCAGGGATGGTCCGTATTGTACCAAATACCTTCCACTTCTTAATAATAGACTTCACTGTGCTTCTAGGCATTGATAAAGACTTTGAAATAATTTTTTTTGTATCCATCTTCTGACTTGTGCCTGTCCACAACTTTATCTCGGAGATCTTTTGACAGTTCCTTGCGGCTGATTGTTTGCTTCAGTTGCACTACCAAGGACTGAAATGCTCCAGTAAAAACTCTTTTCATGCTGAGCTGATCAAAATGAGCACAGCCGAGCACAGCCGATCACAAATGAAAGTCAAATGGCTTTGTGTGCCATTGAGAAGGTGATCAGCTCCACCTGATTGTGTTTACAAGTCATTTTTAGCAGCGGGGTGATCCTTTTTCCAACTCACTGATTCTGCTTTGTTTTTCTGACATGTTGGTGTTTTATATTTCACTTGGATGTTATAAGTTACACTGAGTAAATACAGCTGGATAAAACAAAAACTGTGTTTGTCTTCATTTCAGGCTGTAAAGCAACAAAATGTGATTATTTTAAAGGGGGGGTGATTCTTTTCTATACCCACTGTATATACCAATGAAATAAAGTTTATAAATTACTATTATAAATAAATATATGTACAAAACAAATACTAAAACTGCTAATTATTACAACATAACCACAAGCATAATTTATTATCTGAGTAAGAATTATATGTTTTCCTTTTCTTCTTCTAGTGCTGGCACTCTGCCCGTAACGTTCCGTTGTCTTGAGGAAAACCTTGGTATTGACAAGAGAGTTACACGTTTTGTGCTGCCTGTTGGAGCAACAATTAACATGGACGGAACAGCCCTCTATGAGGCTGTAGCTGCCATTTTCATTGCCCAGATGAACGGAATTGATTTAGATCCCGGTCAAATCGTCACTGTCAGGTAAGACAGAATAGGCTACTTTTCAAAAATATATATTATGAACTAACATCCACCTAATTAATTAATGTGCTGGGCACCAACTAAATGTTACAGAGAGGTGGAGCCAAGCATAAATCATATATTAAGCATATTTGCCTGTTTTTTGTAGGTAATTATGATCAACCATATACATTTTTTTTAATTACAACTATAACTTTCCTATTACCTTCTAATAAGTGGGCTTAATAATTCAGAAACTAAATTATCCATCATATGTAATCAAAAAAAATTAAATGTTTTCATTAGCTGTCATTTATTTCCCATCCGCCAGCAGTGGCATAGCACCAATTATTGCTTTTTTGAATAAAGCAATAAACAAGTTCATAAAATCTAGCCCACTATCAAAACAATACACATTTTGACTGCTGACACATTAAATAGGTGTATAACTTGGCACAGATTCTATATGCTGTCAACATTTCTTCAAACCTGCTCCTGAAGCAGCTAGTCAAGGTCTTCAGACTCACTAAAACTTCCAGGCCAGTGTGTTGGAGCTAAACTCTGCATAACATTGACCCTTCAGGAGCAGGATTGGACACCCCTGTGCTACAGTTAAAGAGCTTTTCTAAGTAAATGAAACAACCGGTGGTTATAATGTTGCAGGAACTGTAAAAATGGTATTCTTACCACCACTTGTGAGCAATGCGAGCAATTCACATCAATGAATTCTACCAAAGTTTCATATTTCTTGTAATGATTTTTATGTCAGTTGAAAATGTATCATCAGAAGTTTATCTGGGATGCCTAATGCCAAGTTCACACTACAGGATTTTAACCCTGATTTAAGCCCGATTTGCAAGTCAACGAACTTGCCGACAGGTCGGGCTGTGATCAGGGGCAAATCAGCGTTCGGTGATCAGTGCTCGGCAATCTTTATGTGTGAACTAACTACTAAACGACGCATCAAAGAGGCTCGCTGACGCCTTGCCGACACCAAACAAATGTCTAGCATGCTAAATATCTGGACCTGACGACTGACTCAACATCCTGTGGTGTCAGGTGTCACGACGAGCTACAGCCAATCAGAGAGCAAGGCATGGGTTGAGGTCACCAGAGGAAAACAGCAGCAGCAACATGGCTTTAAGAAAAGAGTGGACACAAGAAATGGAGCGGAATTTTTCAGAACAGATCATTGCGCAAACAGCTTGCAGCGCTAATTTCTTCCCGAGATCCATTTTCAAATGAACAACTCCTGATGTTTCACGTGTTGTTTCATGTCATTCCCGTGTGTTCCCCAAATGTGGTTTGGGGACCGGATAGAGTTGTTGTGTAACAGAGTTCTTGTCAGATCGTGTAGTGTGTGACCCCCTGTTGCGGATCGTTTATGAAGTGTCATGTAGTCTGAACAGCACAGTGACATGCCGATGTTTAAAGTCGTGTAGTGTGAACTAGGCTTAAAGTTTCCTTTCATAGGGTCAATGAGTGCGGCATCAGTAGCTGAAGCTACGGGAACACCTTCCAGGTGTGATGATTGTCTGAAGCCTGTATAGAATCACGTCAATTCTGTGGCTGGTGGCACTAACACTGCCCGCGGAGACATTGTGTCACTGATGCCTCAAAAGGACATGCTCGTGCCACTCTTTTTCTGGGTTTTATCTGCCCATGCTTTATTTGCTTTGAATCACTGGTTTCATCCAAAGACTATAGAAATACAAAGACAGTTCACTCCTGTACTTATGAATGGGAGAAACTACAACGTACAATATTCTAAATGAAAGGAGTCAATCGCTGATTGGTAAAATCATTGTGTCACTGCAGCGGCCGTTAAAAGCTCTGGTTTCCATAGAAACCTGAGGCTAGACCAGCCAATGACCAGCCAACTCACCACACACCAGCTACAGGTGGAGAGGAGAGAGAGACTGATAGAGCCATTTCAGTGGATGGGGATGATTAGGAGGCCATGATTGACAAGGGCCAGTGGAGGGAATTTGGTCAGGACATCAGTGAAAAAACCTGTACTCTTTACGAGAAGTGCCATGGGATTTTTAGTGAACACAATGAGTCATGACCTCTGTTTAATGTGGTGCTTTTTTCACAGTAGTGTCCCCGGCACTATACTGGGGCATTAGGACCCAAACAGACCACAGGGCAAGCACCCCCTGCTGGCCTCACTAACACCTGTTCCTGCAGAATGTTAATGCGTCAACACTAACTGCATTGAATTAATGTTAAAATGTGATGTTGGTTCAACATCACTTTTGCACCCACAATTAATATTGAAACTATGGTGATATTTCAACAAAAATCTATGAAAATGTCATTGAATCAATGTTATGAAGAGCTGTTTCAACATCACTCAGTTAATGTTGAAGCAATGTTGAATTTTCATTTAAAAAACAAAAAAACAAACACTATGATGTTGTTTCTACATCACGGTTGTTTAATCGATATTAAAATAAAATGTGAAAAAAAACATTGGTAATATTGTCGGATCAATATTATAATGTGATGTCGATACTAAACCACTTTTGTCGAAACACTGAAAACAAACATAAAACAACTGAAATTTCAACATAAAACAATGTTGCCATCTTATGTGCCAAGTTAATGATGAAACAACATTAATATTTCAACTACACAATGGAACATCGACTAATTCCTGACCATTCATTTCAAAGTCACTTTATTTTATGTTATTTTTTAAAACAGTTTAACATAATCAATGACAAAAAGATACAGAAGATCAGTCTTTAAAAATAAAAGTGAGAGAAAAATGACAAAATCACAAAAGCTCTACAAACTTTAAAATAATTTGTTTCAGGAGTTTGATGTCAGACTACAAGTGATACAGTGATTCAAGTTTTAAAAAGCTGCCTTGTGTCAGACTGCTGCCTCTTTTCCTTTGGGCTCTCTGAAATCTGAAAAAGATAGCATGAAGTCACCCAAGAGCAAGTCACTTCAGCTGTCATAAATACAGTAACATTCAGGAATGTTAATCTGTTAAACACAATATGAATCACTTTTAAATTGCTCAACACAAAAACATTCTTTTGTTTGAGCATCTTTAAAATATATTCATTTAATCTATATCAAATCTATTAACACTTCAATATCAATACGGTTTCTACAATAACCATTTGTAAATAGAAGCACAATGTCAGAGGTGTCCAATCTTTTCAGCTAAATTTATCTCCAGTCCTAATTAAACACAACTAAAACAGCTAATTAAGGTCTTTAGGATCACTAAAAACTTTCAGGCAGGTGTGTTGGATATGTAAACTCTGCATGAAGGTAACCAACTCTGAGTTATGGCCATTATTTACAGGAAAAAGTATGGGATGTGAACATTAGTCTATAAGTAAAATAATAGGCTGCAGATTCTACTTATGTAGGCTTAATCTACATAAATATCACAAACTATTCTTGTCTGTCACTTTCTCAAAAACACAAGATGTAGCTTTTTGTGATTGTGTACAGACTAAACTGAATTGGGATCAGTTACATTCATCACGTTTAATACTGATTGAGGAAAATTAATGATTACCCTACAAAGCAGTAAATCTGCCATTACTTCTACTAAAGGAAAGAACAGAAGGTGCTCTGCAAGCATTGATCAAGACATGGGCTATGTATAAAGTGTGACAGAATGCTGATGTTCATGTCACTTGCCAAATAATAAAGTAGAAGCAACATTATTTAAAATTTTACCAGAGATGTTGTGTGAAATATGTCACATGATGATCCAACATTTTTGAAATATTGAAATGACAACCTCAACCAAGATGATGGTTTGGATGAAAATTCAACATTGTATCAATGTCTCCTTGCTATCTGTGATATTATTTAAAAATGAAAGTGCTTCACTGAGGCTCATTTTCTTTTCGAGGAAAGAAGGGCAATTGACTATCCAATTCTTATGCAATTTTTGAGGCACTGCATGAGCTATAGTTTTGAGAATCTGATGCTGAGCTCAAGGCTATGAAGAGTTAGTCTCTTGCCCTTCCCAGACTGTGTGTGGTGTATTTTCTGAGGGGTGCAAACACATGGGGAGTTCTGGAACTCTGAGAGCTCACAATGCAATCTCTTTCAACTTGTATGTGCCTCTGTTTACTATTGCTATTTTTCACTTTTGGCTATCACGATTTGTCACTTTGGGCTACCAAATATCCAAGTCACACAATCAGTTGCTTCATGACTGATTTTGCATTGTAAGTTCCTGTATTGGCCAGGTACTCATTCTTTGTTGGAGAAAAGAGCCGTAGGGCTCTTCCCAGAAAGAATCCCTTAATTTACAGTCTGTATTTTCTGGTGCTGAAAAGGGATAACTGATTGTGGCCAATCCTGTACTTGCATCTACTGGACTTCACACTCAGGATGTGCAATTGCATAATGTTGACTATAGATTTTGTAGGTCTGTGTCATGCACCGTTGGGTTTCATTGCAGTAGTTATACCATTGAATATAATCCACGTGAGGCTGGTTTAATGGTGGAACAGCAAGGGAGTCCGTCCCTTTTGGCGTACACACTGCAGACTCAGATTTATGTGCATATGCTATTTTACTGTTCGACTGTTATCGTGGAAGCATCCCCAGTTATTGACTTACAGAGGCAGAAATAGTCACCTTAAAATGATCACAACTGATACCTCATTATTGGCGTTGGGATAGGTTTGCAAAGGGTGTCTGGCATGTGGAGTTTGGAGGGGTGATCATATCATGTGGCACATAAATTGCCTGGAGATTATTATAGTCTGCTGGCTTAAGTCATTTTCTTTTGGGACTACCATGTGATCATTAAAACAGACAACATATTTGCATTCTTGCACTTAATTGGCACTTACCTTTGCAAGGGCTTCCTTCCTCCCACATCTCTGTAAACGCACACTGGTTTACTTTTGCCAGCAGACTCACTTTATGCTTGCAACTGTAAAACTGTAAAGTCTTGCACTGTATGCCAGTAGGCCTAGTCTTGCATGATTCTGGGCTTTCTTCCTCCCATGTCTTACTCGGGTCAGAGTGCT